GTGGTGTCAATTGTTTATAGCAACGATAATTGCGATAATTGAAAAATGAAACCATTCCATCAGTATTTTCTTATGACGTTGTCACGTTCAACTATCGTCAGTANTCTCCTACTTGAGTGAGCGATGCATCCGCGTGGACAGCTGCTATACAATAATACATTTACATGTTTTCGTCAAGTATGAAGCTCAGTGAAAAGTGAATGTGGTGTCAATTGTTTATAGCAACGATAATTGCGATAATTGAAAAATGAAACCATTCCATCAGTATTTTCTTATGACGTTGTCACGTTCAACTATCGTCAGTGAAACCGACTTTACAGACAACCGATCTTTTTAACCTAAGAATGCAAAAGAACTTACAGCTCTCTCCCGGAACCCGTATTGAAAAATATCCTAAATAAATTCAAACGAAACTTTTATAATTCCCAACAAAAGTCCATAAAGGCTAAACGTTAAAGTTCGAAAAGCTATAGATCTGAAAAGCTTTGACCGAGCATTATGGAAACTTACCGGGCTGACTGTCAATCTTTAACTAACAAAAGTCTCTTACAGCTTGGATGATTTTTTTATTTGTATGCTTAAACTCCGACCATCAGATGATCTCAAAGTTTTTCAAGGTAAATTGTTCTCTCCAACGGATAACCTCTACATCTTCCTGTCTTTGTCTCGTTTAGAATCAGCACATCATATCCTCTTTTTCAATTCAAGCTTATCATACCTCACCTCCTCACTCACACTCTTCTAACATGTATTCTCTTTCGCACATCCCATTCAAGCCTTTTTAGAATATCCCCTCCAATAGCCGGATGCCCACTCCAACGGATATCACAACTTGAATACCGCTCCTTTCTTAAGACACAGGATTGAGGTTCAACTATGATGGGATAATAGGATGGCTATTCCATTCTTCTAGTTAGAACATTATCTCACAATAGAAATAGGGGAATAACTGGTGTGCTCACAATACCAGCAGTCATCTGGTCTACACGCATCTCATAATGGGCAATTGTAAAATAATTATACCGATTCTTTGGTACCATATGGAGCTTAAACGCTTGGCAGGTAATGGGAAACATTGATTTTTTTATAATAAGTTACTTAAGTTAGTTTTTTTTTTATGTTAGGCAGAAAACAATGCAGAACACATTTCTTAGTTTAGGTTACACTTTCCAAAATATCCATTTTTAAGAGATGAATTAAGAATACTTTGAATTTTACGGCATTACATGGAATTACATATTTCTAGGCAAACTTTATAATAATATAGAATGATTGATTAATGACAAATGATTTCTATAACAATATTTATCATATTGTTCTCCGATTATCTGCTGCATGTTGCCGGGAAGACTTGGGAACCTTGAACGGTTTTTGGATTTGCCATAACGACATCTGTCGCCGAATAGTCAAACGAATATCGAAGTATCTAGTCGCATCTAGAACGCTCGAGAAGTACAACGCCATCTATCGTCAGATAAATGAGAATTTTATAGTGTTCTGTGTGTGTTCTAAGTGATAAATACAGTTTTAAGTTGTACTTTGGTGGAACATTTATTTATCCCGAACCCCAGCGCGTAACATTATTATTAATGTTTGTTCTACCGATTAATATATTGACTGCGTACATCTCACAATACCCTCTCCACATTTATTTAGCTTGATGAGAAACAAGATGGCCGACCATTAATTTTAAATGACTATCTCTCCATTAAAACGGAAAGACACGGAGTACACAAAATAATTAATTACACCTTGAAGATTACAAATTCAGTGATATTACAAAGGTTTATTGCTAATTCTGAACGTTTTCTTAAAGGGTTATTAAGGTACGGGTATTGGTACGACTTCAAGATTTTATGGTACCTATTTAACATTTTATTTTATTAGTGCATTGTAGGAATTTTAATCGACTTATCTTTGTTTTTGTTTATTACACTTCGTGCACATTGATGTATATATATTGACAAACTTCATGCATAAGGCATTCTCTATAAGTCAACGAAAGTGATGCTGAAAAGCACGTAAAATTACACACCATATCGTAGACGGAAATATTCTGAATTGAAAATTTCACAAAATATTGACGCTGGCAAGAAATCGAACCAGGATTCCCTGGTAATTGTAAAAGCCCATAAGTATTTCTTCTTAAATTAAAGCTACTATAATTATTTATCTAGTAATATTGATACGTTGGTTGACTCTAGTATAGTTTAACAGCACCATACCCGATCCTGTAGACCGAATGGTAAACAATCGACGTCGCCCAAAGCACGTCATTACGGATCCTCCCGATCCATTAACGGTGCTTTTAGGCACCACAAGCACCGGTCACCGTCTTCGTCGAACCCGTCGCTTGCGACGAAAGGCTCGACGAGCGAATTAACCCATAGACACAGCCCACTGAGTTTCTCGTCGTATCTTCTCAGTGGGTCGCGTTTCCGATCCAGTAGTAGATTTTGCGAAGCACTGCTCTTGCTAGGGTCAGTGTTAGCAACACGGAGTGAGCTCTGTGAGCTCACCTACACACGTTAGGGTGAAGCTGAAATAGCCTCTCAAGGCTATCAGCATAGGTAGGGAAAAAAATTAACAGCATTTCATACAAGTGGTCGTATTAAGATGTAGTGTTCAAATAACTACAAGGTTTTAGTATAAAATAAAAATGTATTATGGTAAAAAGTTTGAGAGGATTAAAACTTCCCCAAATTGGATGCCATTTTAACGCGCCCCCCCAAAACACAAGCCGCTTAATAATTAAGTATCAATTTTAACTTTGGACATCCAACTTTTCTTGGGCCCAGTAAATAAAAATCACAGACCGACCCTAGAATGATTAGAGTGAAATGTCCCTGACATTGATTTCCTAAAATTTAATGTTATCTATAAGATAAGAAGCACGGTGTACTCGTTTCGAGCGATTTGGATAAACTCCAAGTTTCGTGAGGGAATCCGTTTATTTTATTTTGGCACGAGGGAAGCGGTCTTTATATTTTCGTCTTAATAAATGACTACGTGCCCAATAAGTGTTGGGTCAGTTTTGAAGTCGTCGTGGCCTAAAGGATAAGGCGTCCGGTGCATTTGTATGTAGCGATGCAGCGGTGTTCGAATCCCGCCGGCAGGTACCAATTTTTCTAATGAAATACGTACTAAACAAATGTTCACGATTGACTTCCACGGTGAAGGAAAATAACATCGTGTAATCAAACCCGCAAAAATATAATTTGCGTAATTACTGGTGGTAGGACCTCTTGTGAGTCCGTACGGGTAGGTACCACCACCCTGCCTATTTCTGCCGTGAAGCAGTAATGCGTTTCGGTTTAAAGGGTGGGGTAGCCGTTGTAACTATACTGAGATCTTAGAACTTATATCTCGAGGTGGGTGGCGCATTTACGTTGTAGATATCTATTGGCTCCAGTAACCACTTAACGCCAGGTGGGCTGTGAGCTCGTCCACCCATCTAAGCAATATTAAAAAAAAAAGTGGTAGCGATCAACTTGCATGGCGAAGGTAATAGCATTGTAACAGTAAAATAGAATCATCCGAATTCTTAAATTTGCGAAATCTTCCACGGGAAGGCGCCGCCATCTTGCCGGTACCTGCCTGTCGGTATCTTGCTTTAACTTACCTGCCTGTACCGGCCTGTGCCTTCCTGCCTGCCTGTATCTTGCCTATAAGTAAAACTGGATTCGCTATCATATAGCACGACCGGAACTTCGGCTTCAAGTGTGAAGGTGAATGGTGCCATAATCGTTTTGATTATTCCAAGAGAGGCTGCGAGATCGTTTGGATGCTCAATAAAAAATAAGGATACGATTTTATCGATTTTTATCCGTAGATAGACAAGCGGTGCAAGTGATACGGTGATGATGTTAACAATCTATACATATAAATAAAGTTGGAGTGTCTGTTTGTAATATTGAAATAACTGCTTTTTACAACATGCATATGAATATATATGTATATACGTTACATACACCAAAATAACATTTTTTACAATTTTTGTCTGTCTGTCTGTTTGTTCCGGATAATCTCTGGAAAGGCTGGACCGATTTTGACGAGGCTTTCACTGATAGGTAGCTGATGATATAAGGAGTATCTTAGGCTACTTTTTTTTAAGACTAGCCTCGCCCAGCGGCGTCACCCGCGGTACGACCATAGCCGCGGGTAACATTGCGGGACTCAGCTAGTATGAAATAAAATACTACCAGTCGTAGAGCGTCTATGGTTTCTATACATAGCCGAAATAGGTGACAGAATAAAGAACAACGTAGCTGTTTGTGTATAGATTCGAACTTGTAACCTCCCCTGTATAAGTAGAGGCATGCTCGAGAAGCCTCATAAAATATTATTCATATAAACAATAGATTTTCCCATTTGAAACCGCGGAAAATGAGAGCGGGAGATGAAAAACAGTTATGACGTAACCGCCATTCTACTCATAAGTCGTCAAGATGAATAGAATGTCACAGGTTTTTTACGAAGTACCCACAGTGCAGAGTTACGAAAGCGCGTAGAGCCGACGCCCGCCACAAAAACACGATTAATGATGTATAAATTCTATTTTATTAATTGTGTTTATGATGTTTTATGATGTTTCTCGCGAGTGTCTTTGGAGTTTAGATTTTCTACATAGACACCATATTATATTACATCCATTTGTTACAATTACATTTATGATTTATAAACACACTCTTAAACACGAGAGAGAACGATAGAAGAACTAAACAGTTAAAAATATATATGTTTAAATGGAAATGCCGCGTGTATAGTATGATAAGATACGATAGTTCCATCAAATGATATCTGCACAAGGCAAGAAAAGATGGGACATAATATAAGAGATAAGGTCGATAAAGATAGTCAATCTAAAGCGTGGTGAAGTTTATAAAAACCACAATCTAAGACTACCTATTTGATAGCATGCAATTTCGATATTTAAATCTTATACAATCAAAAACAGCTGGATTACAAAAAATTAAAGCATATTTTATAATATACAAATATTAAAAAGAATCTTCGTTGCTCTCATCGTAGTACTTTTGTTTCTTTTCATTTAGTTTGTAGAATAAGTCCCATAGAGTCATTCTTTCTTTGTAAGGTCGATTGCCTAAAGTAAGCACCGAATCAATTTTCAAATAGTTATAGCTGTCCTTCGTTATTGGATCCCATTTAATTGGTAATAGCTCAGTGGTTTCTGGAATGGGGTCGCTGCAAAAAAAAGTTGAATATTAAAGTTTCTGTTAATTAACTAATTTTGATAGTTGTGAAAAAAAAATTTTTTTGGTGTTTTAGTCCCGCCACACACCATGAAACAGAAAATCGAAGTCTCGAATATAATATATGTTATGACTGAACTTAGATGGTGACATTCATATTTTAGATGTATGACGTATTTATAGATTCTGAAACCAGTTCTAGAAATGTAGAAGCGGAATTGAGGTAACGTGTATTCAACGATCACGTGTATTTTCAGTGGGGGAAACTTCTGCGGCAATACTTTATCGAGTATCTCAGATTTAAGTTAATGGAGAGCACTACATACCCGAATTTGGCGAAGTTTGTCCACATTGTGGTCATTCGATCAACCATAAGCTGATCTTCAGGGCTGGTCTTATTAGATAAACTCTTAATAGAAAATATATATCCAAGCTCATCAGCATGTGCAACCCCAGGTGCATTAATACCACGACTCACTTTTACCAAATTCCTCCCACCGTCATAAGAGAACATGTAATAGTAAATATTACGAGCATGTCCTTCAATAAATTTATTGATAGTCCTTTGAATGGGATGAATGTAAACAAAATCTGAATCATAATTNTTATTAGATAAACTCTTAATAGAAAATATATATCCAAGCTCATCAGCATGTGCAACCCCAGGTGCATTAATACCACGACTCACTTTTACCAAATTCCTCCCACCGTCATAAGAGAACATGTAATAGTAAATATTACGAGCATGTCCTTCAATAAATTTATTGATAGTCCTTTGAATGGGATGAATGTAAACAAAATCTGAATCATAATTAATTATCTCCCACCTTTTTTCTTCAGTAATCGGATCATCTCCGATGTAAAATTGCCGAACGTACTGAGTCATTTCCTCCAAAGTGTCGCTATCGAAGTTAAAGGTTTTGTTTAAGTATGTGGTGAAAATGTCCAAAGACGCAAAATGCTGGGCATCGCCAAGCACATGCGTTATCATTAATTCATGATCATTAAAACCTATCAGCACAGGTATGTTGGCTACCTTTGGTATTTTTGCATTTGCCCAACGTTTTGTTATGAAAGAATCAACTTGTTCAAACGGATTTTCAGCACAAGGCTTAAACTCGATACCTAGACTTGATGCCGCTGTAATTACTGATTCTGTGCTAGCTGATGACAAAAATGTTAGTGCCTCTTCAATATTGTCAGTTGTATGACCCAGGCGATCGGCAATTTTCAATGGAGCAGATTTATCAGGTTCGATCAGTACCGTTCGCGCTTCAGCGCTACCGCTTTGTAAAATCACTCTGTTGTACAAAATTTCGGCTTGAGATAGTAAATGTAGCTCCACGGAATGTCCACCTGCACTTTCGCCAAATATTGTTATTTTATTAGCGTCCCCTCCGAAGGCTTCAATGTTTTCATTAATCCATCTTAAAGCCATTAATTGGTCCTTCAGACCTTGATTGCCTGCCACCTCTGGATGATCCAGGCACATAAAACCATAAGGCCCAAGACGATAATACACCGTAACAAGTATAACATCATATCTGATGAGAAACTCGGGGCCAGCACTGTCCCTGCTGCCGGACCCACTTGAAAATGCACCACCATGAATCCAAACCATAACGGGTAATTTATTCTGAGACGTTGCGTTTGTGGGCACGTAAATGTTAAGGCTGAGGCAGTCCAAAGATTGGTTTGATGATGTGCTCGCTTGTGGGCATCTTGGGGATTCTTGGAAGGCTTCAAATGTGTCTAGGAAACTTGGGTATGGGATGGACACCTGCAAAAAGTAATATTTTCAAATGCCAATGCTACTTCACGACGGAAGAAGAATGCAGTGCAATAAAACTAAATAGCCCCAGAATTCATGATTGTTTCATTTTAGTTCATTGTATATTTCTGTGATTCCGCTCATATGCTTCATTGATATTTTGATATGTACCGGTTACATTGTACCTAACTTTTTTGGGCAGCTGGAAAATTTCCCACAAGATCCACACACGTACGAGATGCGCGGCTTATATGAGTCTCCCGAAGCGACTTACTAAATAACTTCCCTATAATTTCAGTCGAACATGCAAATCTGGCTGGTATATACTACATACTTTTTTATCTAGAGGTAAGACAGAAGTGAAAAAATTCCGTTTTGGGGCAAGGACTGGCGGAACGGAAGGCCACAACTCTAAAGTATGGCTATTTATTATAATGCATTCATATTTGCATAGTTTGACCACAGCGTTAGCCACTACTAGTAACTTGTGTGATATTTGGAAAAAAAAACTTACCCCAAATGGATTACTCCTGTTTACTTTCGCGTATGGTACACCCAAAAATAAAGAAAAATCATTATTATCCGATCTTAATCCTTTGATCAATCCGACTTTAGTTTCGACCAAAGGATCGATCCTAGATATAGCGTCAATGTTATTTATTAGCGTCAACGTTAAAATCACTATTGGGAATGTAACTGCCATTGGAAAAAATTCAGACACGCTACAAAAGGAAATAATTTTCAATAGGAAGACCTTGGTTCACCAGAAACTTCATACGAATTAAATTGATTTTTCGCCCAGATTTTTTCTAACGCGTAATTAACACAGATGTTACATTAAATGCAAATGAGACTTTACATGTCTTTGGAAATGTAAACTAATTTAAAATATTAACAACCAAATATGTTGAATAAATTGGCGATAAGAGGAAAAGAAATAAAATATAAATGTACGCCACGACGAGTCACTCATAAAATTATACCAAAGAATAAAACTGAGTGTTTTTCACATTGTTTATATTGTATTGTTGGTTTTCGATAACGAATTAACATTCCGCGATATCTCTTTATTATTTATTACACATTATTTACACTNAAATATTAACAACCAAATATGTTGAATAAATTGGCGATAAGAGGAAAAGAAATAAAATATAAATGTACGCCACGACGAGTCACTCATAAAATTATACCAAAGAATAAAACTGAGTGTTTTTCACATTGTTTATATTGTATTGTTGGTTTTCGATAACGAATTAACATTCCGCGATATCTCTTTATTATTTATTACACATTATTTACACTAATTGCTTTTTTTCAAATATTTTAGGACCCCTCATTTTAATGCGCAAGTTGGATTTTAATCGGGTGAATTGCAATTGTCTAAAATCATGTCAATTGGTGCTGAGGAGTATACCTTGGCCTTTCATGGATTTTGTGATGCTCCGCGACTTCTTTGAAGATAATTATCTCTGTGGAGTTAATTTCGATCGATATTATTCTTGTTATTGATTATTGATCACGTACGCTTAATGACAAGCGATACACTGGTGTTAAGCCATTTTGATTTTATTTTTCTGCCACAGAAAAAACAATACTGCACGTTCTCGCAATCAGTGATAAAGAAAATATCGACTTAAGATAATTTTTAATGGAGCCGGAGGTGGGTGGCGCATTTACGTTGTGGATGTCTATGGGCTCCAGTAACCACTTAACACCAGGTGGGCTGTGAGCTCGTCCACTCATCTAAGCCATAAAAATAAAACATGCAGCCAAAATCCGTGCGCTTTGAAGTTTCGTGGGACGACGCTTGTCTAACCGTGGACGCCAGGGGGCTGATAGAATAGAATACTAGTAATATTATGGTTCTTGGACGTGTACATATTTAAGGGTGGCAAACAAAGGAGAGTACTCACAAAAATCTATGAGCCGTATGCTCGTCTGCCTACGAGGGCAATAAAAAAAACAACAATGATTAAGTATTATAATATATCTTATTATATCGTATTATATCGTATTGTAATATATCTAATACTATGCAGTCATTATTTCATTGAAATTGAAACATCGTATACTAGAGAACTTTAACCACTGAGCACAAGAACCCACCTTGTACTTAACACCAGGTGGGTCCTGAATACGTACATCCACATAAGCAATAAATAAATAAACTACACTTTCTGATTCAAGTACTATCTAATCTATCTATTCTAAGTACACCAGATATTATGTCAACAATGACGATAAAGTTGACACTTAAATTTTATAGATATATAATTACCTAGGTAGTCGCAGTGCGGGGTATAATTAAAAAAAATATTTAAAAGTTGAAATATAGGAAACAAAAAAATAGTGTTTTGATTATATTCAGATTGAGCGACCTTGGATACTTTCGAAAAAAAAAACTGTATTTAGATATAATAGCAGGCTTTTCTATTATGGTGTAGTTTAATTAAAAGCAAAAGTTGTTGCGATGTTAGATAATAAATAAATTACACGAATATTATTCAACAGCCACAATTTAGAGTTTTCTTCTTTTTAATGTCTGCCAGAAACACGCATACGCGATCGGCGTTGACCGAGACTGGCCTTGGCTTAAAAAGATATGCATATCCGCCTTTTTTTTTTAGAAAAATACACACTAACACGTGTTCCAATTTACCTGTATAACAAACCTGGAAACCATAAAATATAATAAATCGTAATTATTTTACACCCTGCTTATTTCTGACGTGAAGCAATTTTGTATTCAGATTTAAGACTCTCGCATCGAGCTGAAGGCACGAACAAGCCTAAAAAAGTCAAGGTCACTGGTCAGCTGACAAATGAAAAGATCTACCTAAAACATGGTTTTATTGTCAAAAAGTATCAATCGCTTAGGTATCAAGGTCACGTCGAGCTATTTTTCTAAATAGGTCTGCTTTTCCTCATTCATTTTATAGAACAGATCCCAAAACGCCATTCTGTGATTCAGCGGTCTGTTCCCAAGACTTAACTCTGCGTCTATTTTTAAGTAGTTCAATTTTTGTTTTGTAACAGGTTCCCATTTTATTGGTAGCAGCTCTGAAGTTTCTGGAGTTGGGTTGCTGAAACAAAGATATTTAATGCATATCAATTTTGCGCTGTCTCTAGAGCTCACGGTATTTTGTAATTACGAAAATTACTATGAGAAATTGTACGCGCTGACCGGCTGACATCTAAATAAGAAGATTGTATGACCGTCACATCGTAACTGCACTCATAGTGATTTTTTTATTTAGTGCCATTCATTTTGTTACACGGTATTTTATGTTTAGAAACTGCTCAAGGGAAGGAAAGTAATTTACTATTTTGACAATTTTTGGGACCAGGTTAAAATAGAAGCATAATACTTTATATAGGTAATGTTAAAGGTAATCCGACAGTGATCTATAGGTCAATAAATCCATAAACATGGGTATGCAATGCCCAAAATGTGATTTAACTCACCCATATTTTACGAAATTAGTCCACATTGTAGTCATTCTATCAATCATGGTTTTATCTTCAGGGGTTATTTCTCCTGTAATATATTCCATGTTAAATAGATATCCTAGTTCGTCAAAATGTGAGACACCTGTAGCATTTATGCCATTAGCAATTTTGAAAGCATTTCTTCCACCATCATAGGCAAACATGTAATAGAAAATATCGCCTGCTCCATTTTTCAAGAATTTGTTAATTGTCCTCTGTATAGGATGTATGTAAGTGAAATCAGAGTCATAATATATGACATTCCATTTCTCATCGTCACTAATAGGATTGTCTCCTAAATAAAAATTTTGCACTAATTGTGACATGGCCTCTAGTTCTTCGTTCGTAAATGTGAATGTTTGTTCCAAGTAAGTCCTAAAAATGTCCAATGTTGTGAAATGCTCATTGCCTTTATTTACATGATTAATTAATAATTCATTTTCATTAAAACCTATTAGCACTGGCATTTTTCTTACTTTAGGCACTTCAGTGTTGACCCAATGTTTTGTAATAAATGCATTAACACCATCAAATTCATTTTCGGCACATGGCTTGAACATAATATTAAGGTCTAAAGCAGCCCCAATAACTAAGTCTGTATCAGCAGCAATGAGGAAATTTAAAGCTTCTTCTATTTCAGATGTTTGATAACCAAGGTAATCTGCTAATTTAATTGGAGCTTCTATATCAGGTTCTATTAGTACCGTCCCAGCTTCGGCACTACCACTTTGTATAATAGCACGATTGAATAATACTTCATTATTGGACAGCAAATGAAAATCTACAGAATGGCCTCCAGCACTTTCACCGAATACTGTAATTTCATTGGGGTCCCCACCAAAAGCTTCAATATTATCTTTTATCCACCTTAAAGCTAACGTTTGATCTTTCAGACCCTGATTCCCGGGAACACTAGGATGATCCAGACACATAAATCCATAAGGACCCAATCTGTAATTGATGTTTACAGAAATCACGTTATGCTTCACAAGAAATTTCGGATCATACATGTATCTACCAGCAAATCCTCTTCTGAAAGATCCCCCGTGGATCCAAACCATGATAGGTAATGGATTTTTTGATGTGGCTGTTGATGGTACATAGATGTTGAGATGCAGGCAGTCCAGATTTCCAAGTACAGTTTCATTGAACATGTATAATTGAGGACATATNTTTTTTGATGTGGCTGTTGATGGTACATAGATGTTGAGATGCAGGCAGTCCAGATTTCCAAGTACAGTTTCATTGAACATGTATAATTGAGGACATATAGCTCCATCGTCGTAGGCTTCGAAGGTGTCTTGAAATTTCGTATGTGGAATAGCATCCTATAATTTAAACATTTATTGAATAAGAATGGACATTTATAAATTGGGTATTGAGGCTTTAAAACTACACTTCTTGTTCTTAAAAAAACTACGAGAGAAATGATAACGATATTTTTATATGCACCACTACACAAAAAATTAATGAAAAAAGGCTATATTTAAGTTATAACTTACACCAAACGGATTGCTATAATTCACGTTCGCATATGGTATACCCATAAACATAGAATAACTTCCATCCTCGGAAGTTAAGCCTCTAATTAAACCAACTTTAGTATCCACTAAAGGATCAATCCTAGTAATTGCTTGTGCAAATTGTTTTAGAATTAGAGCATGAAAAACGATTGCAACAACGGAAATCATTATTGATTAGAGATAAAGTAAAAACTGGCCGGTAGGAAAGTATCGAAGTTTTACAGCATCAAAATATGATCGTGTTCATGATGTTTTACTTTGCTCTTACATATCCTATCTAATCTGCTTTATCCACGTTCAGTGTTATATACTTTAGTTTTATCTCTATCTGGTAACGAATAGATAGCAAATAAGATGAAATTTGTCTGTACTTCATTTTAATAAAGACTTATTATTTAAAGCAAAAGATAAAGAGCATTTCAAGGAAAGTTTCTAAATTAAAACATACCTATATTTATTATAAAGCTTAATGATTTCTTTACAAGTAAAAGAGTTTATATGAGAACAAGGTTTTCACTCTAGAAGGTTTTGTATTTGCCCGAATCTACTAAAACGATTCTAAGTAGACATTCGTTGAGAGCTAGAATGGTTTTTGTCGAAATTCTCTAATCTATCTGGTAAATTACTATTTATCCTGTTAATTTTCTGTTAAATTGGAACGTACATTGTATTTTTGCATTCAAAGCATATAGATTTTATGCTACCTTTGGGCTGAAAAGCGGGTGGTATTAAATTGGCTCTTTTTTTCTATTGCTTAGACGCGTGGGCGAGCTCACAGCCCACCTGGTGCTAAGTGGTTACTGGATCCCATAGACATCTACAATGTAAATGCGTCACCCACCTTATAATACACATTAAATGCTGAAATATACAAAATAGATCAAACGGGCCATTTGAAAATTAGCACTGGTGGTAGGACCTCTTGTGAGTCTGCACGGGTAGGAACCCCCATCCTGCCTATTTCTGCCGTGAAACAGTAAAGCGTTTCGGTTTGAAGGGTGTGGCAGCCGTTGTACTGAAACCTAATATCTCAAGGTGGGTGGCGCATTTATATTGTAGATGTCTATGGGCTCTAGTAACCACTTAGCACCAGGTGGGCTGTGAGTTCGCCCACGCGTCTAAGCAATAGAAAAAAAGAGCCAATTTAATACCACCCGCTCTTCAGCCCAAAGGTAGCATAAAATCTATATGCTTTGAATGCAAAAATACAATGTACGTTCCAATTTAACAGAAAATTAACAGGATAAATAGTAATTTACCAGATAGATTAGAGAATTTCGACAAAAACCATTCTAGCTCTCAACGAATGTCTACTCAGAATCATTTTAGTAGATTCGGGCAAATACCAAACCTTCTAGAGTGAAAACCGTGTTCTCATATAGCCTCTTTTATTTGCTCTCTTTTATTTGCTAAGTAATCATTAAGCTTTATAATAAATACGTTTTACTTTAGAAACTTTCCTTGAAATGCTCTTTATCTTTTGCTTTAAGTAATTAGTCTTTATTAAAGTGAAAAACAGACAAATTTCATCTTGTTTGCTATCTATTCGTTTCCAGATAGAGATAAAACTAAAGTATATAACAATGAACGTGGATAAAGCAGATTAGATAGGATATTTAAGAGCAAAGTAAAACATCATGAACACGATAATATTTTAAAGCTGTAAAACTTCAATACTTTCCTACCGGACAGTTTTTACTTTATTTCTAATCAATAATGATTTTCGTTTTTGCAATCGTTTTTCATGCTCTAAGTCTAAAGCAATTTGCACAAGCAATTACAAGGATTGATCCTTTAGTGGATACTAAAGTTGGTTTAATTAGAGGTTTAACATCCGAGGATGGAAGTTATTCTATGTTTATGGGTATACCATATGCGAACGTGAACTATAGCAATCCGTTTGGTGTAAGTTATAACTTAAATTTAGCCTTTTTTCATTAATTTTTTGTGTAGTGGTGCATATAAAAATATCGTTATCATTTCACTCATAGTTTTTTTAAGAACAAGAAGTGTAGTTTTAAAGCCTCAATACCCAATTTATAAATGTCCATTCTTATTCAATAAATGTTTAAATTATAGGATGCTATTCCACATACGAAATTTCAAGACACCTTCGAAGCCTACGACGATGGAGCTATATGTCCTCAATTATACATGTTCAATGAAACTGTACTTGGAAATCTGGACTGCCTGCATCTCAACATCTATGTACCATCAACAGCCACATCAAAAAATCCATTACCTATCATGGTTTGGATCCACGGGGGATCTTTCAGAAGAGGATTTGCTGGTAGATACATGTATGATCCGAAATTTCTTGTGAAGCATAACGTGATTTCTGTAAACATCAATTACAGATTGGGTCCTTATGGATTTATGTGTCTGGATCATCCTAGTGTTCCCGGGAATCAGGGTCTGAAAGATCAAACGTTAGCTTTAAGATGGATAAAAGATAATATTGAAGCTTTTGGTGGGGACCCCAATGAAATTACAGTATTCGGTGAAAGTGCTGGAGGCCATTCTGTAGATTTTCATTTGCTGTCCAACAATGAAGTGTTATTCCATCGTGCTATTATACAAAGTGGTAGTGCTGAAGCTGGGACGGTACTAATAGAACCTAATATAGAAGCTCCAATTAAATTAGCAGATTACCTTGGTTATCAAACATCTGAAATAGAAGAAGCTTTAAATTTCCTCATTACTGCTGATACAGACTTAGTTATTGGGGCTGCTTTAGACCTTAACATTATGTTCAAGCCATGTACCGAAAATGAATTTGATGGTGTTAATGCCTTTATTACAAAACATTGGGTCAACACTGAAGTGCCTAAAGTAAGAAAAATGCCAGTGCTAATAGGTTTTAATGAAAATGAATTATTAATTAATCATGTAAACAAAGGCAATGAGCACTTCACAACATTGGACATTTTTAGGACTTACTTGGAACAAACATTCACATTTACGAACGAAGAACTAGAGGACATGTCACAATTAGTGCAAAACTTTTATTTAGGAGACAATCCTATTAGTGAAGATGAGAAATGGAATGTCATATATTATGACTCTGATTTCACTTACATACATCCTATACAGAGGACAATTAACAAATTCTTGAAAAATGGAGTAGGTGATATTTTCTATTACATGTTTGCCTATGACGGTGGAAGAAACGCTTTTAAAATAGCTAATGGCATAAATGCTACAGGTGTCTCACATGCTGACGAACTGGGATATTTATTTAATATGAACTATGTTACAGGGGAAATAACCCCTGAGGATAAAACCATGATTGATAGAATGACTACAATGTGGACTAATTTCGCAAAATATGGGTGAGTTAAATCACATTTTGGGCATTGCATACCCGTGTTTGTGGATTTATTGACCTATAGATCATTGTCGGATTACCTTTAACATTACCTATATAAAGTTATATGCTTAAATTTTAACCTGATCCCAAAAATTGTCAAAATAATAAATTACTTTCTTTCCTCTGAGCAGTTTCTAAACATAAAATACGGTGTAACAAAATGACATGACAAAAATTTTATTTAGTGACATGAAATGGCACTAAATAAAAAAATCGCTGTGGGTGCAGTTACGATGTGACGGTCATACAATCTTCTTTATTTAGATGTCAGCCGGTCAGCGCGTAGAATTTCACATAGTAATTTTCGTAATTACAAAATACCGTGAGCTCTACAGACCGCGCAAAATTGATATGCATTAAATATCTTTGTTTCAGCAACCCAACTCCAGAAACTTCAGAGCTGCTACCAATAAAATGGGAACCTGTTACAAAACAAAAATTTAACTACCTAAAAATAGACGCAGAGTTAAGTCTTGGGAACAGACCGCTGAATCACAGAATGGCGTTTTGGGATATGTTCTATAAAATGAATGAGGAAAAGCAGGCCTATTTAGAAAATAGCTCGACGTGACCTTGGTATCTAAGCGATTGATACTTTTTGACAATAAAACCATGTTATAGGTAGGTCTTTTTATTTGTCAGCTGACCAGTGACCTTGACTTTTTTTAGGCTTGTTCGTGGCTTCAGCTCGATGCGAGAGTCTTAAATCTGAATACAAAATTGCTTCGCGTCCGAAATAGACGGGGTGTAAAATAATTAATTTCGCAATTATTATAATATATTTTATGGTTTTCAGGTTTGTTACACAGGTGAATTAGAACACGTGTTAGGTGTGTATTTCTTTAGATTTTTTTGGAACGAAGTTCCTTATCGCGCGTTGTGAAAGGGGGCTAGACGGAAAAAATTCTTACGAAAAGTTGTCACGACACTTTTTAGATCCGTCATTCTGACCAATCAACGTGTAGGCGCTTATCGCGTGACATTGCTCGTATCCGATTGGTCCGCGTAATGAGTACAGTTTCTCGAGATAGCGTTTCAACAATAGTAATTTAGTTCATAGTATTGTTTTTTTCTTCTTCATAATGCCGTAATTTATTATNAAAGGACGACCGTTCCAAAGGTGGGTAGACGATATAAAAGCTGTTGCAGGCTCTACGTGGAAGAGGAAATGCCACGATCGGAACTTATGGCAGGATTTGGGGGAGGCCTATGCGAAAGCAAAACAATCTTAGCCGATGTCAAATGAAAAGAAAAATGTACCTAAATATGAATTAAGGTTGTTAATAAAGGCTTCTTTATCTTTATCTTTATCTTTATCTTTATTGTTTTTTTCTTCTTCATAATGCCGTAATTTATTATTATAACTTTAAAAAAAATTACAATACCTTCACTAATTAATCGAAAGGAACTTCGTTCCATCCGGGTGTCCCTTGACACCTCTGAAGTTTTTTTTTTATCTCTTTGCAGAATTTAAATACTGGCATAGCTGCATTGCAACAAGCATATCTTTTTAAGCCAAGGCCAGTCTCGTTCAACGCCGATCGCGTATGCGTGTTTCTGGCAGACATAAAACAGAAGAAAACTCTAGATTGGAGCCGTTGAATAATATTCGTTTAACTTATTTATTAATAACTGACATCGCAATAATATTCGCTTTTAATTAAACTACACTATTAAATAAAACCGCCTATTATATCTAAATACAGTATTTTTCGAAGGTCGCTTCAAGGTATACAAGGTTGCTCAATCTGAATATAAAATATCCAAAACACTAGTTTTTTGTTTCCCATATTTAAACATTTAATATATTTTTAAATCATATCTCACACTGCCACTACCAAGGTAATTATATAATCGTAAAATTTAAGTGTCAACTTTATCGATAATGTTATTATAATAATATTATATCTGGTGTACTTAGTTTACTAGTGGTAGGACCTCTTGTGAGTCCGCACGGGTAGGTAGCACCGTCCAGCCTATTTCAGCCGTGAAGCAGTAATGCGTTTCGGTTCGTAGGTCGGGGCAGCCGTTGTAACTATACTGAGACCTTAGAACTTATATCTCAAGGTGGGCGGCGTATTTACGTTGTAGATGTCTATGGGCTCTGGTAACCACTTAACACTAGGTGGGCTCGTGCACCAATCTAAACAATAAAATAAATGCATACAATGTTTGTAAATTATAGTACATTACAAGTCCTTAAGGTACAGAGTAAAAGTACAACACCACTATCTGGCTAGGTTCATTTCCAAATAAACCAATAAAAACAATCGCTTGCTCGAGCATAGCATTCATAGTCATCAAATCTATTTGGTTTCCACCAAACGCTTGGCTAGTGATCGTACACCTACAAGTGGACCGCTAGCTTAATGGATGGTGTACCAAAAACATCGATAAAATATGTAGGATAGTGGTATCCAGCGCATTTTTATTTCGTCAAAAACGAATCGGAATATTTCTGGCCAATGAACGAAACTGTACTGAAATATATTTTTTACAAAACATGCAAGCTGACTATGAGCTGGAATTGGATTTAAAGCCATTATTTAGCAAAAATAAAAATTGTTTGTATCAAAATTCCATATAACTCCTAAAAATATTACAAAAAATAAAGTCGTATTAACAAAAGAAAGTCGTACGTCAAATACTTCCTATAAGATAAAAGCGATCCCAAATATTCAAAGGACAGTAATATGTCAGGAGACAAACGCAAAAACCGGATTGTCTTTCCGGTCTGACATTAAGAAAGTAATTAGAAGCCTCTTCAACGGCATGATATCTATTTTCATTATCCCATGGGAGCATATTGTTCGGGATCATTTCGCCGGCAGTCCTTTGTCGCCCGAAAAAAATAAGAAGGCATCCAAAGGCGATTCATATTCATAACGTCAGGGAAAATAATTAGTTTTCATTATTCAAGACTCGGTTGCTTGGATGCAAATATTATGTACACGGATTTTTGTCTGCGTGCGAAATTATTAAGATTAATAATTTAGGTTAGTCATTTCTCGTAGGTACGTAGATGGTTCTATCGTCATATCAGTCGTTATAAATCTTGAGATTAGCGTGTAGATATTTATTTCTAATACCACCTACCTCAGTTTATCTATCTTTAAGTCTTATCCATAATTGCAAGTGCGCATTTCTTATTTGATGACACAGACCCATAATAAGCTATCTGATGATCGATCTATAATATAAATCAAAAGAAGCCAAAAACAATCAGTAAAAATTTATATTCAATATATAATTTTAAGGCTTAGTTAGATATTAGTTTTTTTGTTGATAGTCCTCAGAGAATAAAGTTGTAACTTAAAAAAACTAATTACTGAATAACAAAATAACAATAAAAATTCAATGAGAGTGTAACAGCTCAAGATAATAATACTGGGGCGTAATTATAATTCATTCTGTGTTGAGAAGATCTGGCGAGAACTTAGCGATCTAATGTATGGGTTACGTTGCAAGTCGAACTTCTTGTGCGTGCTTCTTGTACTACCTACAGCTAATAATACTGTTAGTAAGTAAGATGGACAGGAGTACCTGTCTGTGGCGTCAATGATGACTGGAACCGGTAATCCGTAGTCTAGGAATAGTCAGCGGCGGCAACGATGAAGCGATTATCATGACACATGTCCTTATCGAAGTACCGTTACGATGCTGACTTCAGGTATTTCCTTACGGATTCAAGACTCAGGTCGTCCTTTCATCAGGACTGTTATTAATAGCACACCGCCTGACCTTGACTAAAGGGGCTTAGTGGGAAATGCCTATAAATGAAGCTCAAACAACGTTCTTGGACAATGGTCCGAAATAATCCACCAATGGGGGTCTTAGTATTTTAAGATTTTTTTTTAGATTTATGAGACTTTTGCTTTCAATTTATAGTTTTATACATAGAATGTAGTTTATTGAAATTTTAGATCAGTGAATTTCAGAATTATACTACTCTTTTCTGTTACGACGCAAATATGCGGGTAGGACAACCAAACCCAATTTAAAAACTATTTCAAAAGTACAGTAGCAAATTAAATTTTATATCTATGTCCCTGCAAACACGATGTGGTTTATGAGAAGTTTGCTACCAATATGGATTAGGGACGTTTTATGTTCATATGCGAATATAGTTTTTTTTATTGCTTAGATAAGTGGACGAGCTCACAGCCCACCTGATGTTAAATGGTTACTGGAGCCCAAAGACATCTATATCGTAAATGTGCCAACCACCTTGAGATATAAGTTCTCAAGGTCTCAGTATAGTTACAACGGCTGCCCCACCCTTCAGACCGAAATGCATTACTGCTTCAGAACGGCAGAAATAGGCGGAGTGGTGGTACTTACCCATGTGGACTCACAATACCTCCTACTACCAGTAATTACGCAAATTATAATTTTGCGGGTTTCATTTTTATTACACGATGTTATTCCTTTACCGTGGCAGTCAATCGTGAGCATTTGTCTAGTCATCTAGTTAAGTATTATAATTACACAGACAATTTTTTAAATGTATCCTGATGAATCATTAAATTATTTTTATGGAACATCAGATCCGTTGAGTTTTGACACAATTGTATATACAATACATCTTTAACCCCATCTGTCAACAGTTGTAACACCCGAAATCCAGTGACCATATAATTGATAACTCGATATTAAATTGGCTAGAGCGATTTACGGCCTAATATAACCGGCATTACTCGACCTTAATTGAATTTGATGCACTTAATACATAGCCCGATGTTATTACAATTAGTAAATCATGTCAGAGAAAGCGGATGTTATGGGGTGACCAAACAATTTTATTGTTCACGGTTTTGTTGTATGTTGAAAGTTATTTACTTGTGACGATGAGGTAATCAAAAGAATTGATGATAATTTATAAAGTAGCCAAACTGTTAGGTTTATGTTAGGTTAGGTTGTGATTCTATTTATTTTTAATTCAAATCAAACTATCAGCTTTTTTACTAGTGATATGTGTAATTTGGAAATTATTACTTATTTCACTCAGAGATGATGATATAGTAGTTAATGAAACGGGGAGCGCCTTGACTTTGCCCCTGGCATTGCTGACGTCCATGGGCGACGGTAGCCACTCACTGGTGGTAGGACCTTTTGTGAGTCCGCGCGGGTAGGTACCACCGCCCTGCCTATTTCTGCCGTGAAGCAGTAATGCGTTTCGGTTTGAAGGGTGGGGCAGCCGTTGTAACTATACTGAGATCTTAGAACTTGTATCTCAAGGTGGGTGGCGCATTTACTTTGTAGATGTCCATGGGCGCCAGTAACCACTTAACACCAGGTGGGCTGTGATCTCGTCCAGCCATCTAAGCAATAAAAAAAAACCATCAGGTGGACCGTATACTCGTCTGCTTACACGGGCAATATAAATAAAAAAAATAAAAAATCTAAGGCCAATTAATTAATTGTAACTGGATACTAAAAGTTCATTGGAAAGCTTTTGACCTGCATAACTTAGTTTCAGAATTTGTGTTTGTTTATAATGTTTATCTTTATTATGTAAATGACTACGCCGCCTGCCAAGACTTTTTGGTCACGATGACTAGAAGCATTATA